TTCCTTAACTGCTAGTTAGGTCAGAAGATGTTTGAGAAAAGAATGATGTGGAAAAATAATGGATGTGAATGTTGAGTGGTCAAGGCATCTGGCTTTGTCCTATAGAGGTAGTTTTATTAAAATATAGTGATCTTTTTCTATTTCTTGCCTCCTAAAGTATTAGTGTTTTGCCAATTATTTTTACCATAGCTTCATAGCTTTGTAGAACATAATACCAACCAACTACCTATTACTTAGACAGAATCAAAATAAGAAAGAACACCCTGCTTGAGCAGAACACTTGAATGTAATACTTCTGGGCATGGCATTTGAAAATATGAAAGGCAAGTGTGAGAGAACAATTTTTGATAGAATATCAGAGTAGTGGAAGGAAGAAGGATTTCCTATTCATACTGTTAATTCTCCTTCTTTCTCTGGTTAACATTTAGAATTAGCATGGTTCATTTGTTACAACTGATACCCCACTATTAACACACCATTTTCAGCTAAAAAAAATCCCATGGCTACATCAGGGCTCCTCTTTGTATACTTTATGAGTGCTGACAAATGTGTAATGACCAGTATTCACCATTATTGCATTTTTTAAGGCTGCCTTAAACCTCCCAATATGTTACCTATTTACCCATACTTCCTTCTTGGCCTCTAGTCCCTAACAATAACTGGTCTCTGTCTCTATACTTGCATCTTTCATAGAATGTCAGATAGTGACGATCTTGCATTATGCAGCCATTTCAGTTTGATTCCTTACATGTAGCAATGTGTATTTAAGGCTGCACCATGTCATGGCTCATTTGCTTTTAACACTGAATAATGCACCTTGTCTGGATGGCCCATAGTTTACTCCTCCATTTATCTCCTGAATGACATCTAGGTTGCTTTCAGGTTTCAGCAATCATGAAATGATGTACTAATAATCATCCATGTGCAGATTTTTTTAATAGATGTCAGTTTTCAGCTTACTTAGGCAAATGTCAGGGAGCATAACAGTTGGGTTATTACTGTTATGGTAGGAATGTTTAGTTTTATTAGAAACAGATAACATTTTTTTCCACATAGAAAATGATAAGCTGGTAAAAGTAGCCTCATAAGAAACTGTAGGAATGTCTTCCATTTCACACTCCTACCAGCAATGCATGAGAGTCCTGGTCATTTCAATTCCCCACCAGCATTCAGCAGTATCACTGTTATGTATTTTAGCCACTTTCGTAGGTATACAGTGAAAGGACCAAGCAGATGCCATAACAGGCTGCGCACTCTTCTCTCGGAGATCAGTCCTCAATTTCAGTTTCCTGAGACTTGAGCAAGCAGTTTCTGGGAGGGCCATGAACAAAAGACATAATCCTTGCAGTAGTTCCCTTTCTGCACGTACTCTGACTGCTCAAAGTTTAGCCAGTTGTTTACCGTCTGGGACTCCTCACCAACTTAGAGCTATGTGCATGGATCAAGGACAGAGCCTGGGCCACTGAGCCAGCCCCCACAGTCAGTACTTGCTAGGCCAGCCAGCCCCCATGGCAGCTCAAGGACAAAGCCTGTGACTTGTCCCAGACAACCTCCAAAATGATAATTGTAACCCCCAACCAGTAAATTCAAAGGTTACATACCCTCACCCAATTAAAAGGCACCCGTGCCAAACCCCTCCAACTGCCCTGAAGGGCTTGTGGTTTTTGCCTTTAAATAGCTAGTTTCACAAAGAAAGAGCAACTCCTCCCTGCCTTGTAGCGCTGGGGCCAGTGAATGCTTGAGATGAGTTCCCTGTCACAACTTGTAATGGAAATAAACCTTGCTATTGCATCCTGGACATCTTCGGTCTCCAGTGGTATCTTTGGGGTTGAGATCTGGGCATAACATACAGTGTATTGCACTTTGTTTTAATTTGCATTTCCTTAAGGACATATGACATTAAATATATTTTTATCTACTTATTTGCTACTTTAATGCACTTTGCTAAGGCTTCTGTCTATTCATTTTGTTCATTTTTAAATTGAGGAATTTTTTTTGTTTTTTATTGATGAATTTTAAGAGTTCTTTGTATATTTTGAGAACATTTTTACCTAATAAATTTTATTTATTTTTTTAAAAAAGATTTATTTATTTATTTCATGTATGAGTGCTCTATCTGAATGTACACCTGTATTCCAGAAGAGGTCATCAGATCCCATTATATATAGATGGTTGTGCACCACCATGTGGTTGCTGGTAATCGAAGTCAGGACCTCTGGGAGATTGCAGCCAGCGCTCTTAAACTCTGAGCTATTTTATTCTGTGAAAATTTTACACATGTCTACTTTGCTTATCTGGATCCACTTCTCTTTCTCTTTTGAACTTCCCCAGAAGCTCTGCATGTTTATCTCATGACTTTATGCTCCCATTTTCTTTTCTTTTAAAATAACACAGTGAGTCAAGTAGGGATGAACACATAGTCTTCCACTGGAATACGGGTAACCTATTGTTACTGTATTGGGAGTAGTAGACACACTCCCAAAGAAGAATGATTCTCCCTTCCCCAGCATCCATCCACTGCCAATAGCTCCTTAGATGATGGTGGGACCTCATGAACCTGACCCCCACATCCATCTATGCTAACAAAATTGATCTTGGCAGGTGGGTCTTATACATGTTTTAATACTTGGTATGAGTTCCTAAGTGCCTCAGGGATTCTTTGTCCAGGGCACAGCATCTTGCAGTACTTCTCTTTATCTTCTGGCTCGAATATTCTTTCCCCTTCCTCTTCTATAATTTTCCTCAAGCCTTGGGGTGTTGAGGTGTTATATCCCATTTAGAGGCAAGTGCTTATAATTTAACTTTTCTCACTGGTTTTTGGCTAGTTATTAGTCTTCACATCAACCTCTTTCCATTGCAAAAAGAAGCTTCTCTGATCAGGGTTGAGAGTTTCACAGATGGGTGTAGACATATTTAGAGGCAGTTGGACAATCTAGTCATTTAGCAAAACAACAGTACTAGGCTTCCCTGGGGCCTACAAATTCACCATTCATGAGCTTTTGACGGGGTTTACAGTGTGATGTATGGATTCCATGTGGGACTGGCCTCCAGTCTAATCAGTGGCTGTATACCCACACAGCAGCCAGGCCACTGTTGTACACGTAAGTACATCTTGCCTGGCAAATTGAGATTATAGCATTCAAGGGCCAGCACTGGGTAAGACCACTGATAACTTTTGTTCCCCACAGTCTGCATAGTACTTTCTGCCGTATTGAACTGACCAGGAGTTTGATTGTTTTTTTTTTTTTGTTTATTGTCCAAATTTTTAAAAAATATTTTCTCTATGCTCTTTTATTTTCAAAAGAATGGAAGTTTTACTTTTAATAAAATCCAACTCATTATATTTTTTCTTTAGGGCTTGATTTTGCTTAAATGTGATTAAAAAGTCACAATCAAACCCAATTCTTAATCAGTTATGTGTTCCCCTATGGTGTGTTGGAAGAGTTTTGTAGGTTTGTGTTTTATACTTAAATCAATGATCCATGTAAGCTAAGTTGTCTGGAAGGCATAAACTCTTTTTCTAGACTGTTTTTTTTTTATCATATGGATGGATGGTTGCTGAAGCTTAGTTTACTGAGAAACCAGGCAGAGCTTATACCTGTCTTTTCTTTCTGAGAACACTCCTTTTTTAGCTGCTGTACATTTGACAGATTCTGTGGTTTCATCCCCCAAACTGCAATTGAGAAAAAACAGCAGATAATGTTTTATTGGGAATGTGATAGATCAACACATGACACTTTTCAGTTCAACCAGTTTGTTTTCTATGATTTTTACTGTCTGTATGAAGCTTCATTAGTGACACTCATCTCGGCTCAGGTCACTTACTGTGTTATAAAATACTGAGATATACTTCTGAGCATTTTCTGCCCCAGGATCATACTATTGTTACCTCAGCAACTAGAGAAGTTCATCTTTCTGCTGTGGTTATGGTACTGCCTAGAATTCAGGTCAAGAAGTTCATGAAGCTCCTCGGCTATAAGGCTCATTTAAGGGAGAGTGGGATCTAGGGAAGTGCTTCTAAAGGATGTTCAGTGGAGGATGGCATTATAATCCACTGAATTAGCTACTAAAGTGTAGATTTCGGGAACTTAAGCTACATCGAGTAAAATCAGAATATTTGACCATTGGGCTGTGAAAGATACTTTTTTTTTGCCTCTTAACTTTTGCTCAGACTTCTTTCCAGTATCTTTGGACTGAGAATTTGTGTGAAGGCTCAATTTTACCAGGGATTGGAGAAAAATAGGAGTATATATCTTGGCAACAAAATGTCTGAGAAAAGCAACTTAAACAAGGAAAGAGCTAGGTTGGATTATGAGGATGGGGAAGTTATGGCAACATGAGTTTGAGGCAGTTGGTCACATTGCATCTATAGTATGGAAGCAGGAAAAGAGGGAGGGATGGAGGGATGTAGGGAAGGGGGAAAGAGGGAAGGAAAGCAATGGGGGAGGTGGGAAAGAATGAACACTAACAGTCAGTTGATCTAGAGAGAGAACACTAGTGCTCTGCTCACTTTCCCTTTTTATTCAGTCTGGGGATATAGTCCATGGGATTGTGGTTCCCTTGCTCCAGGTAAGTCCTCCCTGCTCATTTAAACCTTCCTGGAAACACCCTTATGGATATATCCAGAGGTGTGCTTCTGTGGTGGCTCTAAGTCCCATCAGTTTGGAATGAACATTAACTATCCTGGTGTTCCAGTGGAAGAAATCATAAGCCTGTATGTTTGAGTGAAAAGGATGTTTATTTGTATGTGTGGATTAGAGGGCATGGTCTTGTTATACAAATACATTTCACATTCATCTTTTCTAAAGTTAAGTATGTTACATTTAAACTAAACATGCTTGCTGTGATTTCTTCCTCAGTAATTAACATAAATACTCAGGTGTGTTCAAATTAGACAACTGAGGGTGATTCCACACTTTAACAAATCCCCAGTCTTGCAGGTGCTTACATTTACTGTAAGTGATATATTAAGTATATCATTCCCCCTCACTCACCGTTCCATTGCTTAGATTTAGGTCTCCTTCCTTTGTTTTATGATCTTACTGCAGTGGCCTCTTAACTCTTTTCTTCTCACTTCCCCTTTCACATTCGTTATAGTCATAATGCATTATATAAAATGCACACATGTTGGTGTCATTACCCTGGTTGAATTCATAGTTTAAAATCAGTATAACAGAAGTCTCCTTGTGCTCCCATCCTTAACTATCTTCTTCAGATAAACAAATTGTTACCTTTTTTGAGAAAAGCCTCATTCTGTAGCTGTCACTGGCACTGAATTTGCCTTGTATCCTAGTCTGGCTTTATACTCACCTTCTTTTTGTCAGAGCCTCCCACATACTGAGATCTTAGGCAAGATACGCCATGTATAGCACCTTCATCAGCTTTTCCTTCAATAGCTAAGACAGAAATTGTAGTAGATATAAATTTAATATAAATATTATATATATGTATATTTCCCTCAAATTTATGTTGTGTTTCAGCTATAGATAAATTTTTATATTTCTTTGAATATTTTCACTCATTTTAGCCCTCCAAAGTGCATTCTTCTTTCTCAGGATTATGACCACTGCCCCATGAAGCCCTCCTCAGGGGTATTTGCATTTCTTGCATTTAACATCGTACTGCTATACCTTCAGAGTACCTCATAGTGCCACACTTATCTGCAATCACTTATATAGCTATTTCCTCTTCATCAGGTGGAATTCCTGCATGGCTGATTTTCTTTTTGTGTAAAAGCATCATATATGTATAAATCTAAAAACTGCTTTCTGAAACAAATATTCAAGATTTCAATATCAGATATTATGAAACATCAGTCAACTTGGAGATTTAAAAAGTTCTATACAGTGTTGCAGAATATTTGTTTACTCTGTTAAGATGTGTCTTTGCCAAGGCACCTTCTGATTGGTTTAATAAAGAACTGAATGGCTAATAGCTAGACAGGAAGAAGTTAGGTGGGGTTTCTGGGGACAGAGAGGACTCTGAGTAGAAGAAAGGTGGAGTCACCAGCCAGACAAGGAGGAAGCAGGATGGGCAGTAGGGAGATAAAGCAACCGAGTCATGTGGCAGAATGTAGATTAATATAAATGGGTCAATTTACATAATTAGAACCAGTTAGGAACAAGCCTAAGCTAAAGCCAAGCATTCATAATTAATAAGAAGTTTCTTTGTCGTTATTTGGAAGTTGGCTGCTGGTACAGAGAAAGACTCGCTACAACACAGCCTTGATGCAGGGGGAGGGGCTAGGACCTGCCTCAACTGAATGTACCAGGCTCTGCTGACTCCCCATGAGAGGACTTACATTTTCAGAGGAGGGAAGTGAGGGTGGGTTGGGGGGAAGGCTTGGAGGGGTGCAGGAGGAGGGAAGAGAGGGGGAATCTGTAATTGTTATATAAAGTGAATAAAAATTTCTTTAAAAAAAGCAAATCAAATATTGTAAAAGGAAACATTTAGGATGAATAGATGAGATTCCTACAGAGGAAAGAAAGCCGTTTCCTTGACCCAAAATTGAACTGAAACTGCAAAGGTGAACAGGAGTGTGAGCTGCCCTCACAGCTGACCTGGAGGTATGGGAGACTTTCCATGAGCTTCTCAGCATCGGCAACATCCACAGCTAGTTTGTAGTGATCAAAGCAGATGATGCTTATATGCTAATTACCAAATCTGCTTAGTCAGAGGATCTTGAAGGGGCCTTGAACTTCGTTAAAATGTTGGACTAATTAAAATTGTATTTTAAAAACAAATAGAATAGTTGCCTCTTTCTCTAACCCCTGGTAAAAATTAGCCATTCCTAATTATTCAGTATAATAGGGGTAACTTTTTATACTTTGTATGAAACTTATATTATATCTTTTGTTCAGAAAGTAGTATAAAAATCTGTTCCAAGCTAGTATACTCTAAAGTGTGACAGAATCAAACATTGCACATTGGGGAAGGATGAGGTAGCAGATGGCATGAGAGGCAGGGACATTACATCATAACCCCTTACCTCTGGGTTAACAGCATTTCACAGATGTTACTGAATATAAACCCACAGTTCAAAACTAAAGAACACAAAAATCAGAAACCCACTGTGATACAGAGTAGATACTCAACTAGATATCATATGCTACCAAACAAAATTCCCAGCACCAGGAATGAGTCATATGCTTTTGAGCTGTTGATCAAAGGAGTCTTATCACTCACCCCCTAAACATTAGAGGATATTGCCAATGCAATTAGGTATCCTCCATAACCTGACAATAAGAACCTGTTATTGAGGACAACACATACTTATGTCACCGAATATGGAGAGATGAAGCTGGTGATCAACGGGAAGTTTAACTCCTATTGACCAGTGTTCATGGTGTTGGGAGGTACTATGCATGTGCAGTAGTTTGAATGAGAATGGCCTCCATAGGCTCATAGATTTAAATGTGTGGTCTCCAGGTAGTGGCACTATTTGAAAGGATTAGGAGATATGGCCTTGTTGGAGGAAGTGTGTCACTGGGTTTGAGGTTTCAAAAAGTTCTTTCCAAGCCCAGAATCTCGCTCTTGCTGCTGCCTATGGATCTGGATGTAGAACTCCCAGTTACTTCTCTAGCACCATGTCTGCCTGCATGTCGCAATTATGATATTGTACCAAACCTCTTCAATGTTTTCTTTTTATAAGAGTTGCCACGGTCATGGCATCTCTTCATGGCAGTAGAACACTGACTAAGACAGCATACAACGAAAAGTAATAACCAGTCTCATCCAGCTACAAATTCTACAAGTAATAATAGTAAACTACCTGGAAGACACACTTGCTTGTGCAATAGTAGCACAAATGTTATGGGAGTAACCAAGCACCTTTTATTGGATTTAAGGCCTGGTCCATGAGGTGGAACCCATATCTAACACTTGTAATGAGTCCAAGAACCTAAGACTAGATAAGTCATAGCCCCTAGCCCAAAGTATACTATTACCCTGCTGGATTACTATAGAAATAAAAGGACTCCTAATGACAAGGTGCTATATGTATAGTTCAGCACATCATTTAGCCTTCATTACAGAAGCTTCTTCTGGCAGTAGATAGTATACACAGAGAGCACAAAGTGGGTAATGTACAGAGAATAAGAGACTTTTGGAGCACTCAGCCTTAAGTGGGATGCTTTTATCAAACCCTTCTCCTCAAGGCTCAAACAGAGTAGGAACCTGGAGACAGGAGCTGATGCAGAGCCCATGGAGTAATGCTGCTTACTGGCTTCCTTCTCCTGGCTTGCTCATCCTGCTTTCTTATAGAACCTAAGAGCCAGTCCGGGGATGGCACCACCCACCATGGGCAAGGCCCTTCCCCATTGATCACTAATTGAGAAAATGCCTTACAGCTGGATCTCATGGAGGCATTTTCTCAACTGAGGCTCCTTCCTCTCTGATGGCTCTAGTTTGTGTCAGGTTGACACATAAAACCAGCCAGTACAAGATGTGTTTCTTGATTCAAAAGCTGAAGTTATTTCCAAAGAGGACACATATTTGCTATATTTTCCTTATGCATTCATCCACTAATGGATATCTAGGTTGATTCCACATCCTGGCTATTATAAATAATGCTACACCAAACATGGGGGTGTAAGTGTCTTGTTGCCATGTTGGCCCTACTTCCTCTAGGGCTGAGACTGCTGCTATACTGGTTCTATTTTTAGAGTTTTGATTGATGAAACTCCCCAAGTAAATGCAAACAGTATTTTTCACAGTATTTGGGAAAAAAACTCTTGAAACTCATATAGAAAAGCCGCCGATGACCCCAATATTCAAAGAAGTCTTGAACAGAAAGAAGAAAGCTGGAAACACTGCAGTTACAAATCTCAAAATAGATAGCTAATAAACAGCATGCAACAGGCATAATAAGAGTCATACAGACAAATTGAATAGAATCGACTCCTTGTATTTTCAGATGAATGATTTTCAACGATTACCTAACACACACACACACACACACACACACACACACACACACACACACACAGAGAGAGAGAGAGAGAGAGAGAGAGAGAGAGAGAGAGAGAGAGAG